GTGAACTACCCTCAAGACCTATGATATCCAGTGACTTTGGAGGAATTCTTACCAAGTTGGTTCCGCATAAAGATTTTCCATGATGGTATTGAGGCCTCTTGTTACAATGTTGATAAAGGAGAATAAAAGAGTGATGTCATATCGTTGGCACCATCTTCAAAGTTGAAAAATCTTATCGAGTCCATTACTTAAGAAGTGAATTATAGTAAGGAAAAAGTCACATTCACAAGCAACAGTCTTATACTAGGTGACACTCATCATAATCTCCAATTATACATAATTTTTTATATGTGCAATGAAAGGGTGAATCTAATTTTGATTGATGGAGGATCTACAATGAATATTTTACCAATTTACATCGTGAAAGAACTTGGCATTCCTATGGACAAACTCTCATAAAGCGCTTGATAATTTAAGGATTCAATTAAGGGGGGCAAAGATCTATATGTGCTAACAAATTGGAGATCACTATTGGAGATATGCAAGAAAGTACATGTCTACAAATGATTGATGCAAAAACTTCGTACAATGTCTTACTTGGAATGCCTTGGATATAGGAAAATATCGTAGTTGCATATACCTGTCATCAATATGTGAAGTACTAGGAGGATGGCATCAAAAAGAAGATAGTTTCTGATGACAAGTCATTCACCGACACTGAGTCACACTTCTCTCATGCAAGTTGTACTTGAAGAACCATACGATAAAGGAAATAAAAGCCGACAAAATCAAAAAGGCCAAAAGTGATAAGTTCACAATAAAACGATCTGAGGTAGTTGCTGATAAAGTCAAAGTTGTTATTTAGGGGGTACAACTTAGCCCAAATAAATCTCATAGATGGAGCATCATGTCTTATAGAAAGAAAGTGAGTAATGTGCTTTGCTATATCCCTAAAATAAAAAAAGGAAGGTTAATCATCAAATCTCCAAACTATGTGCTGAATGGGTTAACTCTTTCAATCAAATGAATTGAGGCAATAAAATTGTCCTCGAAGCTACTGGGGAGG